ATTCTTTTGTGGTTGAAACAAAGATCTGTCAACAGTGAAAGACACTGGATGGAAAGTGACTATTTCACATCTTCATTAAAAAGTCTGAGCTTTACAGTTTGACTTCTAAATTAAAATGTGCAGTGATAATCAAAAGCCTTATTATGCATCTCCTGTGTATTGCTTGTATTACAAAACACAAAATCACCATTTCAGCTTTCTTTGATCCTTGGTATAACAGAATATTTTTAGTTGTCTTATGTAAAACTGAAATTTGAGACCTTTAGAAGAAATGTGTTATCAACTTATCCATTGAATGTGTCTGACTTAGAATTTTTCTGGGAAAGGCAGGAAAAAAAAAATACGTTAATTGATTCCTTGGTCAGAATTACTCCTGGGGGAATTCTATACCACTGTGCATGCATAGAATTTATGTCCCTGCAGATTTCTGTGTTTCCCCGCAGAAAAATGACTTTTTGACGGGGAAACAAAGGGAAGCCACAAAAGTGGTCATGCGACCCTCCTCAGCAGTAAATTCAGGACAGCCGGCAGAGAGGTAAATCACTGTGAGGCAGGACTGGGGAAGACACAGCTGATGGCTCCTACCCTGCGCCAGGCTCAGCTGCTAGTCCTGGCTGGGCTGGGGAGGATTGGACTTCCTCTTCCCTTGCACGGCATCTGGGGCTGGATCAGACCCACTCCCAGATTTCTCCCCTGGCTGTAGGAAGCTATACAAACTCTTCCCCCCCCCACACACACTTCCTGAACCCATCACTCCTCAGCTGCAGGGATCACTGTACAGGGAGTTGCTTCCCCATCCATACATCCCTGTGCATTCAGGGCCCCTCACACCCAGATCCTCTACCCCGACTTGGATCCCCCGCTGAGCTGCCGGCACTTAGATTGCCCCACACAGAACCCTCTGAACCCACAGCTGGATTCCATCCACGCTTGGATGCTGCCTTGCTGAGCCTGCCCGCCCGCACCTGGTGCATGGAGGGGCAGGGCTCTGGGGTGTTTCTCGAGCAGGCCCTGTCCTTGCGCTGTGTCAGGGTTGGTTGCAGCCTCATCACTGAATGTGTGCCCCAGGAGGGGGAAGCTGCACAGTGATCGCCCACCTCTGTGCAGCCAGTGCCCTGTGCTCCCCAATGCCATTCTGGAGCCTCCACATTTATTTGACTAAATTTGCAGAATTTTAAGATGTGCGCAGTTTTGTTTTATTTTTAATTTTTTGGCCCAGAATGCCCTCAAGAGTAGCCGGAATCAATTCTTATACACCTTTTGGTTTTTTTCACAGAATGATTAACTTTAATGCATTAATAATCTGTGGTTTGCACCTTTAGTGTAGTTCTGTAGAATTGCTCTGCACTCAGTTTTCTGGTTTGAAAAACAAAAACAAAAAACCAACCTTTCAACATTTATCGTTAAAGGTTTTGTTTTAACTTCCAGGTGTGAAGCATGTAAAATCTAACCTCAGTGATTATAAACCTCTAACATTGCTTTTTTCATTTTGTGCAATTACTGTATTGAACTTGTATGTATATTTGGAACCTTCCCTAAGTTTACATTTAAATTCTTTATACTTTATTTCATTTTTGTGGTATTTAGTTGTCATAGATTTAGTTGCTGTTTAATCTCTAAAGTTTGTGTCAGTATTTTGGTTATAAATTGGTTTATCTTGTAACTGCTTGTTTCATTAAACCTCTCTTGATATGGCCCACTTGTGGATGTGACTGTAGCTGTAAATTTAACAACTTTGGCCTGTACAACAAACTTTTTAGATCAGAACTTTTTATGAGCAAGTAGCATTATTACTGCAGCCAGAGTATTGTTCCTTGTGGAGAACTGCAGTATAAAGTTGGTAAAGAGTTGTTAGAGTGCTGCAGATTCAAAACTTGAGTCTGTTTTAATAAGGGACTTTATATTGGCATTATTCCTGCAACCTTATAATAAATGTTTCTCTAGAACTATGGTGTTGGTCTTAATTGACACTTAAAATGGTGGCTGGGTATGCCATAACGAATGGGGAGGGTGTGTGTGGATTTAGTGTACTGTCGTAGCATATTTCTAAAAAAATGGTAAATATGGATGCAGCCTTATGAAGGAAACGCTCCTTTATCTGCCTGATCATTCTTGTTCCTCTAATGTACTAGTGGGTACCTAAACTCAGTGTGGAAGTTTCCAGCTCTTTACCAATTGTTTTTTCCCTTAAAGGTGCTAGTTTTTGTTTTGTTTTTGGAGGATGCAGGGGAAGAGGGCTTCACGTTGTGTTTTTTGTGAGTGTCCTGCAATTCAGTAGTGAAGAAAACTTTTTGGACTGTGAGCTATAAGTTGACAGCTCCAGTGCAACTAAAACCATAAAAATCCTTCCACGAGGCTCTTTGAGAGCAGGATTAATAAAGATAACTTTGATTTTTTTTCAGAGTAGCAGCCGTGTTCGCCTGTATCCGCAAAAAGAACAGGAGTACTTGTGGCACCTTAGAGACTAACAAGTTTATTAGAGCATAAGCTTTCGTGGGATGCATCCGTGGAAGTGGGCTGTAGCCCACGAAAGCTTATGCTCTAATAAATTTGTTAGTCTCTAAGGTGCCACAAGTACTCCTGTTTTTTTATTTTTGGTGGGTACATTGAGACATACAAAGTAATATTCAGTAATTAACTTCCACGCTCCCCAACCAGACAATGCAGATATTACTGAAATTAACAGTAAATGAGTACTGATGATAATCATGTAGACTTTGTGGCTTCACTTTGAATTGAGGTGTGTGTGCGCACGCACTGAAGTGTCTAAAATAAAAAGCTCACTTAACTGTTATTGCAGAATTTCATTTTTATATTGCAAATAGAAAATTTTGCTAGCACTTGAGCATGAGGATCAGCATGACATCCCTGAACTTTTACCACAAGTTTAAGAAAACCCAAAACTATACATGAGGTTACATGTGCCACAATGTATGACACTCTGCTATACAGAAATAGGTAAGAGCCACTTTATAGTGGCTTTGTAAGCAGTTACTGTCCCTGTCACTCAATCCTGGTGTTGACTTCTTTAGAAAAAAATTTACCAACACAAGTTAATGTAGCACACATCTATAACACTTACATTTCACTTTGTTTGGAAAACAAAATGGTTACCATTCTCCAGACAGAACTGTGATTCAGGAAATGATTCTAGGTAAATGGGTGTTCTGTCAGAAGAGCTGGGAAGCAATTGGTGGTTCCAGAACGCGCGTTTTTTTTTTTTTTGTTTTTTTTTAAATGCATGTTGCAGCCATATATCAGCAGAATTTAACTGCTGCTTAAGCAATGGGATAAACTGATACTGGGGAGGAGGGGGGATAACTTTCTGCAGGGACAGGCTATGAGTTGTGCAGACTTACCCATCAGGTTCCATGGAGCTAGTGATAATGGTCCTATCACAGGGGGTGGTGAAAAGGGGTATTGTGACTTTGCCCAAATTTACACTCCCAGAGCTGAGGTGTATGTATCACTGTCTCTGTAAGCAGAGGCTATGCTACAGACTCACAGCTCTCTTCTGCAGGCTCTAATATTCAGTAAAGCACAGAAGGAAGCATGCTAAGTTTTAAGCACATGCTTCAAAGTGCTTTGAATAGAGAGAGAAGGTCATGCTCATCCTTCAAGCTTGTACTTTGCTGAAGTGGGGAAGAAGTCTGACTTTGTAGGATAGAGTCAAAAGAAGGGGATTCTATTTTGTCCCTAGCCCAGACTTGTTAAGGGAAGTCACTCCATCTCTCCCTTTGATTTTTTTCCTCATGAGTAAGGAGGTGGGGGGCTAATACCTCAGAGGCTGGATTGTTTAATTTGTTTTGACATGCTTGTGTGGAAGGACTTAGAATGTTTAATACCAGTCAAGTGGTTATGCAGCACTTAAGTCTCATCTTGCTCTCTGATCAAGATCTTGGCAAAACAGCAATCTACTACTCTACATTTCTAAGTACATTTCCAATAACCCACATTTTTCCAACTTGGCTTTAAGCAACACTGAAACCCACAGCTGTTGTACAATGCTAGCACTGAATCCATTAGACTTGTCACCTAACCTAGAATGCACTGCAAGAATAATACAACAGATGAGTGTCTCAAAATACCCAGGCAGCTAAAGCTTCCTCACGCTTCAAATGGAGCTATCTACAGATCTAGGCAGACTTCTTTGCTTTGTTTTGGGCTGTCAGCTTGCAGCACATGCAGTGCAGCGGATGGTGCTGATAATCCAGAAACTTGGCTGTAGAGGACTATCGAACCCTTTTTTGTTTTGCAGGATTAATTGACATTTCAGCTGTACACTTCAAAATGAGGCTGGAGCTTATCCTAATGTTTGACAACTCTTGCCCATTTTGTATTAATTGACAGGCATAAGAATGGGAGGATCAGCCTCGAAGGCCTAGATTCACAAAGGGAATTTAATGCCTAACTGGGCCTTGAGATGCCTCAATTCAGCATCAAGCCACTGCCATTCACAAAAACCACTACTCAGCTGCTAGCTAAACCTGTAGGCACCTTAAGCCTCTAATTTTCCATTGGTAAAATCCCCTAGGCACTTCAGTTTCTGGTGGTGGGCAGGTACAAAGCCACCTAGGAGGAATGCCTAGTTTGTGAATTCCCCCTAACCTCCCCTGTGGAGCCTGATCTGGTAGGTGTACTCAGAGCCCACCTTGACCCCTCCCCCCAAAAAAGACAGGAGGGCAGGTGGCATCCTTATTACCAACCACTCAAGCGGTTAGAGCAGTGGTTCTCAAACTAGGGCTGCTGCTTGTTCAGGGAAAGCCCCTGGCGGGCTGGGCCAGTTTGTTTACCTGCCACGTCTGCAGGTTTGGCTGATTGCAGCTCCCCGTGGCTGCAGTTTGCCGCTCCAGGCCAATGGGGGCTGCGGGAAGTGACGGCCAGTACATCCCTCAGCCCGCGTTGCTTCCTGCAGCTCCCATTGGCCTGGAGCGGCTAACTACAGCCACTGGGAGCTGCGATCGGCCAAACCTGCAGACGCGGCAGGTAAACAAACCGGCCCGGCCCGCTAGGGGCTTTTCCTGAACAAGCAGCGGCCCTTGTTTGAGAACCAGTGGGTTAGAGCACTCTCCTGTTGCACTTTGTGAGAAATACTTAAAATAGTCACTGGGCCAAAGAGAGAGAGAGACTATACCCAATGGGTAGTGGGAAACCTGGATTGAAGCAGGGCTTTGGAGAGGAGCCCGGAGCAGTGGAGCTGCAGGTTTTTGCCTGGAGCTGGAGCGGAGCCGGAGCACAGAAAATCTTGACTGCTCCAGGTTTTTTTTTTTTTCCAATCCAAAAGGAATGATATTTAGCAAGAAAGTCCTAAAGGTGCCAAAAAGTTTCAGATTGTATAACAATTGGTATTAACATCTACTTTACCACTTTACGTACTATGTCACAGTTATTCTCACTTCGGCTGAAATCAAGATTTAATGTACAGATACAAAATTACAAAGTTTTTTTGAGATGTTTTATTAAAGAATCAGATAATTATCAGACATCTGGCAACACCGCAGACTGCTCCCACCCTTGTGCCAAGGTTAGGCAAGTACGTACTTGTGTAGATTAGTTAGATTAGTATGTGTTGATACTTCTTTTGTAAGGGTTGATCAATGAGATGCGCTGAGTGCTGCGATTACGGAAAAGTTTGATACAAGACGCAACATAAGATATCACAAACAGGTATATTACAAAAAATAATGTTTTTGTTTATTAATATATTAAGATATCGCAAGAAATATTAACCACTTAAGCTCTCACATGGGCTCCCATTACCGATACATTTGTTCATTTGTACATGCTCCCGTATCACTCTGGCGGACTTATTTTATATGTCATCTGTTCAACGGTCTTTTGGTAGCGTTGTTTGTAATTTTAAATTGACTGAAAAAGTCGCATGCAGCAGGCATATAAATATACAGTAAACATTTTTGCATAAATTAGGAGTGATTTTTGTGAAATATCCAGAGTGATTGGAAAATGTCCAACACAACTTTGGGGGTGAATCCTTAGGTCATTTTAAGAAAAAACGTTTCTGTGAACACGTGTCCTAAAATTCTTCCTAAGGGAGCTACAGTCCTTTCAAGGAGGTGATGAAAAGTTAATTTTGTGATTAATATCTCAAAAACGCTTTAATATAAAGTAATGCAATTATGTCTGTGTCTTAGCGTTAGTATGTGCTACCATATTATATTATCCAAAATTATTTAAACCATAGGCGTCCCGAACTGGTGGTTAGTCATTTTTATTTCTTATTTCAAGAAAGGCTTGTTGTTGACTGCCCCGGCTACGAGCGGTAATATAATGTTCCATAATAAGTTGTTAATTTTTGATTATTTATTATTACGTTTAAAATGTATGGTTCCAAAGTTGAAAAATAAGTAATAAGTAAAATTGTTTGTATCATTCTAAGCATCTAAGCAGATTAAAATTTTTAAACAGTTTTCTTAGAAACAGTTAATTATACAAAATAAATAAGAGTACCATTTTAATGCATGTTTTAGCATTAAATCATATTCCAGGGTCATATCTGTTAAATAGTCGAAGATTTAAAAAATATTAAATAAAATTGGCCCAATCCCGCCAGTTCACAATGCCTGTGGTTTAAACAATTTTATTTTTCAACCTTGTAACATGTAGCCTCGTTACTTCCCAACAGTTAATGTTGTAGAACAGCGATAGCACATACTAACGCTATGATACATACCAAATTTCATTGATATATCTATATTAAAGCATTTTTGAGATATTAAAAACTTGAAATATTTTGAATATTTTTACTGCAAAATTTCATAAGAAAAACTAACTTGCAATTTATAAATAAAATGTATATTAATTATGTATATTAAAAATACTTCTTACTGCATTAAAACTGAAAGAAACATGTTAAAATATTAACATATACTTTAATTATAATTTTGTGTAAAAAGAAAATGCGATCATTTTTGTCCAGAAAATCCAAAATAAATTCGAAGTACCTTAAGTGGTTAACATATCACAAGCAGGTACATTATAAAAAAAAATGTAATGCTTTTGTTCATTGCTTTTAGAAGATCATAACAAGAAACATTTGGATGCGGTAGCAGCACAAGAAGATTTGGCCATAGCTTCAACAAAAAAATCAAATCTGCCCCCCATGATTGATAGCCGATTTACGGAAAAGGATCTCAACGACGTCTTTACTTTTGAATTTGAAAAGCCCAAATTTGGGCTTTTGGGAAAAGCAAAGAAGAAATCGGCAATGTGCAAGGTGGAAAAGGAAGTGAATGGCGAGCTCAAACCATGTAGCTTCAAGAGAAATGAAGCAAGTTCCATGAAACATTTCAACCTTTGGTGGCATGTAAAATGTAACCATCCTGAAAACTATGTGGCTCTGGTTACAAAAAAGGGCCAGGAAGATGAGGCAAAACAGAAAGCTGATGCGGCTAAATGACGTTCATCTGGCTCTTTGAAAACTCCTGGAGAAAAGATTTTTTGCGGAGCTTCATCTGAAAAGAAACCCACAATTGAGCAAACAAAACTTGACTCCTATTTGAAGTCCTCAAAGGTTACAGTCACCATGGATGCCAATACTTTCCGTGAAGGGCTGATGGAAATGGTTTGCTTGAGTTCAACACTTCTCACTACCTTCAGGCTAAAGAACAAAGGATTCCAAAAAATTCCAAGGGGATATGGGTCGGCAGCTTGGCGTTTCAACGGGACACGATGTGGTTCATCATTTAGTTGTCAGCACCGCTGCGTCTGGTCGCAAAGAGCTCAAGAAAGCTTTGGAGCAAAAATTGTGCTACCTGAAAATAGATGCGGCAATCCGTGGAAACAGAAATTTTCTTGCAATCAATGCTCAGTACTACGAAAAAGGAAAAGATAAAGCTGTGGTAAAAACCTTGGACATAATCGACATTGAAGGGCGTCACAATTCTTCGTACATGAAAAGTCAAGTAAAAGCTATTTTAGAAAAATTTGGGATCAGTGAAATGCAAGTGCTGAGCATCTGTGTGGACAATGCAGCAAACATGACGTGTGCCGTCAAAAATTTCAGCGAGGACAATGAAACCATTTCTACCTCTGAGAACAGGGATGTGGACAGAACTGAAGCTATTTTGCCTGATGAAGGAACTAAAGGAATGGATGAAATTGAACTCAACATGGATGCTGCTGCACAATGGGTTAATGACCCTAGCCTCATACTTCCAACATGGCTTCTTGAGGACGACTCAAAAGTCCAACTGATGAGGTGTGGTATTCACACTCTTCAGTTGGCAATCTGGGATGGACTGAACCAAGAACATGCAAAGAAATTTCTGGCAAAAATTCGACAAGACGTTGTCAAACTACGAACTCCAAGTATTCAAACTGTCCTGCTTGAGCTACATGGGGTAACTCGATCATTGGATACTGTGATTCGCTGGGGTTCAACATTTGCAATGATTGATCGGCTTCTCGTTTTTCAATCTTACTGTGAACAAGTGGCTGCTGCTGGAACAAGAGAATTCAAGTTAACAAAAGCTGAATGGGACAAAGTGAAGAACCTGCGAGACCTCTTGGCAAAGCCAAACCAAACAGCTGTGAATCTTCAACCTGTCGATGTAACCCAGGGAGTTTTAATGAAGGAATGGCGAAAACTGTCAAAATTCTTGCAAGAAAATGGTGGACAAATTGCAGAAGGAATTCTATCCTCCATGCAGAAACACGAAGAGAAACTTTTTGACAATATTCATTTCCTTGCTGGAGTTTGTTGACCCACGGCATTGGATTCTTCTTACCTCAAGGGAAATACCAAAGGCAAAGGAAGGGCTCCTTGATATTGCTCGATGACTCGAAAAACAAAATCTATTGCTACGTTTGAACTCGGCAAAAGAGGTTGAAGAAAATGAAATACAACAAAAGGAGTCATCAATAATCGCATTTGCGGTTTCGGAAAGTTCACATCCTTCAGAAATAGCAGGCTGTTCTCAAACTTCCGTCTCCACTCTGAACTTGTTCAAGTGTCTATCCCTGAGACGTCTTCAACAATCACGGGGAAATGGAGATAATTCAAGCATCAATTCTTCAGAAGATGACGACTTCGAAAAGGAATTGGATTAACAAGAAAGATGCCGGCGAGTTTCTTTGATTCATAATTGTAATGAAGCATTATTCGAGAGAAACTTTCGGGAAGATTGTGATGCGATGGAGTCTATTGGTAGGCTAAAAGTTAAGTCTGTTTTTGAGGCCATTCACAGCTACCTACACCACATTCAGGCTGCCTGTAGAATTGCTTCGAGCATGCCAACAACTCGAGCTAGTGTAGAGTGACTGTTTTTGGCTTTAAAGTTAATTTTAAATGATTTGCGGCTGGCTATGAAAGACTACTTGATTGCTGCAATAATTTTTTACAGAATGTATTATGAATGATTCTAGTTTGTATCATTGTTGATGACATTTAAATTGTTTTAAAAGTCTGAATAAAAATGTTTTTTCAAAATTACAGTATGCACTTTATTTAGTTAAAAATTAATTTGAGTCGGAGCGCAGAGCGGAGTCAGAGCGGAGCTGGAGCAGTCACTATTGGTGCTGGAGCGGAGCAATTCAAAATTTTGATTGCTCCAAATCCCTGGATTGAAGTCCCTGCTCTGAACTGGGCAGAGGACGGATTTGAAGCTGGGTCTCCTACCTCCTGGGTGAATGTTCGAACTACTGGGTATAAGGTACTGGCAGCACCCCAATTTTCTTGAGAAGACTGACCTTGAATAAGGCTCCTAACTCCAGGAGAGGATTGACAGCTAGGCATCCCAAGTGACAATAGGTGTCTAACACTCTTTGAAGCGTGGGCTTAAGGCACTTCCTGCTGGCTAGCTTAGGTGATTTCTCAGTCATCTTGCTGGCTTTTGGGACTCCCTGTTTTAGGTACCAATGCTCCCCTTGCTTTGTACCAGCAGCTTGGGCACCTATCCTGGGGTTCAGAGTGTCAATGTGGGTGAGGTAATATCTTCTATTGGACCAGCTTCTGCTAGTGAAAGAGAGAAGCTTTCACGCTACACAGACCTCTTCTTTAGGTCTGGGCTTGTGTAGAAGAGCTCTACCAGCTTGAAACTTATCTCTCTCACAAGCAGAAGTTGGTCCAATAAAAGATATTAGCTCATCCCCTTTGTGTGTCTGATCTCCTGGGACCAACACAGCTACAACAACACGGCAAATAACTGGGAATTGTCAGTTCCACTAGGTGACAAAAAGCCTAAAGGTTAGGCACTGAAATGTCTAATTGTCTATCTCCAGTCTCCATCTGCTTACACTGTCTCCTATAAACCTTCTTTCAGGATTTCTTGTTTGCAATCAATGCATCAGTTTTGCTTTACCTTAAGTGTGCACTAAACTTTTATGTAGTAGTAAGTAAACATTTGACCAGTAGATGGCTCTTTAAGCTAATTTTTGTGTTTGTTGAAGTCTACTACTAAAATAACTTAGTGAAAGTAATAGTCTATTTTTATGTACTTTAAGGTTTCCCAAACCTCAAGTACTTTATTTAATGTCTCAGTGCAAACATTCTGCTTTACAAACCATCTTACAGTGGTTCTCAAATTTTTTTACTGGTGACCCCTTTCACATAGGTGCGACCCCCTTTATAAATTAAAAACACTTTTATATATTTAACACCATTATAAATGCTAGAGGCAAAGCGGGGTTTGGGGTGGAGGCTGACAGCTTGCGACCCCCCCATGTAATAAACTCGTGACCCCCTGAGGGGTCCCAACCCCCAGTTTGAGAATGCCTAGCAAAATAAAACATTAGCATCCCTATTTATATATTGAAAGTATAGTGATCTCTCATAATAAAAAACTGTTTGATACACTGTTTTGGTTTTTAAAAGAAAACTGCTTGTATCTGACATTTATACAGTGTTTTAGCAAGCATCCCATTATCATGTATGACTTTTATTCCTGTTAAAGAACACTTTGTAGAGTGAATGTAAACTACAATGTAACTCCTTTTTAAAAAACAACTGGTTGAGACCATTCTTCAAAAATCAGTGAAGCTTATAACTGAAATGAAAACTCTACTCCTGGTCACAGTCATTATTTTATATTGTAGGTCTATGTCCACCAAAACATCTACTGTCAGTGGGAAACCACTGCCCAGGGGATAGGCTGAGATACTTGCTTGTTGACAAGTTGTCTTGATGCTAATATGCAGGCTACATGCCTGACCCCTTAAAAATATCTTCAACTAGTGCTAAGTTTTGAAAATCCATATGCACACGGGAGGAAAATGTTATGAAATTGCCAAGAAAACTACCTCATGTGCTCATAAATCCCATGTAGTAGATGACTCATGATTTCGAAACCTACTTTTGCACTATTCTGTGTATACTAAAGGAAAGAAAGCTGCTGCTCATAGCAAACTTAAAATAGTTTATGTAGCTGAGGTACTGCTGACCTTTGCAGCAGCCTCTAATAAGTCTCCACTTAACATCCACTTGTAAATGGCCAGGTCAGGCATGTGCTGTTAGTAGTGTTTGTTAAAGCTATATGTGTGAATCTGTACCTTCATCAGAGTGGGTGTTAAGCTCATTACCATGTAGGTGACTGTGGCGGTTACAGATACCATAAACTTTTGTGTGCTAAAACCCACTTCATCAGATGCATGGGGGGTTTTCCACTCCATGCATCTGATGAAGTGGGTTTTGGCCCACAAAAGCTTATGCCCAAATAAATTTGTTAGTCTCTAAGGTGCCACGAGGACTCCGCGTTGTTTTTGCTGATATAAACTAACATGGCTACCACTCTGAAACCTGTCAAAATTATCAGATCTTTAAAAAGTAAACTGCCTTGGCAAAGGAAAATTGATGAATCCATGCTACCTCTGTGATCAGATAGAAACTGAACACATCTTGCAAGAGAGTGTGGTCTAACTCCTATAGCCAAGAACAATGTGGGGACAACTAAAATCAGTGACCTTGACAAGTGAGTAATGTATAGCAAGGGGAAGATCAAAGTGGCTGATGAAATGCTAGGTAGGGGAACCTCACTGAGATAATGAGAGTGACAATAGTCCTTGCATAGGGGACAGACTGGCCTTTACTCTACATGCTACTCCTGATAAAATATCTTTGGCGGAAATGGTGAAGTAACTTCACCCTGATAGAATAATGAATTCTAGGAACTGAGACTTGTTCATAAGCAGGTTGGGTGAAGGATAAAGGGACTTCTTAATTAGGGTGACCAGATGTCCCAATTTTATAGGGACAGTTCCGATTTTTGGGTCTTTTTCTTATATAGGCTCCTATTACCTCCCCACCCCCTGTCCCGATTTTTCACATTTGCTGTCTGGTCACCCTATTCTTAATAGCGAAGAGAAACTATCAGGCTGAACAGGGTCTACAGTTGGAAAAAGGTGGGTTTTTAAATGTATTGTTGCTTACATGTTAACTAAAAGCCTAGTCTAAACAAAAGGTTGTAATTAGCTGGCCAAGTTAAACCCTATAGCAGGGATCAGCAACCTTTGGCACGCTGCTGGCCAGGGTAAGCACTCTGGCGGGCCGGGCCGGTTTGTTTACCTGCCACGTCCGCAGGTTTGGCTGATCCCGGCTCCCACTGGCCGCGGTTTGCTGCTCCAGGCCAATGGGGCTGCGGGAAGCGGCGCGGGCCGAGGGGTGTGCCGGCTGTGGCTTCCCGCAGCCCCCACTGGACTGGAGCGGTGAACCGCGGCCAGTGGGAGCCGTGATTGGCTGAACCTGCAGACATGACAGGTAAACAAACTGGCCCGGCCCACCAGGGAGCTTACCCTGGCGGGCTGCGTGCCAAAGGTTGCTGATCCCTGCCCTATAGCCTTGTCTTCACTCAGCAAAATAAGGTGTGTTCTTAACTCAAGGTAAAACCCTAGTGAAGATAAAGCAGTCAGTAATTTTCACGAGTTAGCAAATCAAGGTTAAACCATAGACTCCCCCACAGTCTTTAATTCAACCTTCTAATGTGTTTAAACTACAAATCACTATGTCTTCACTAGGATTTTGCCTTGAGTTAATTAACTCTGTTTTTTTCCTAGTGAAGAGACAGACTGGGGGACGGGGGCGGCGGGGGGGGGGAGCCTAGAGTTTACCTTGCCCAGCTAACACGTTAATAGATTTTAAAATGTTGTTAAAACTAATGTAAAAATTATATAATACACAGGTTAAGAAAAGAGTGTCTGTACATCTGGGTATAGTGCCTAGAACTGCCTTGTCTACACTAGGAAGTTAACACATGTTAAAAACACAACTTTTTTCCTAGTGAAGATGAGGCCAATATGGCCAGAGGGGACTTAATTTTTGAGACGTAATATTTTATTTGCTTTTCTTTGTGATTAAGCAAAGGGTATCTAACCTCACTGGGCTTTGCAGAGTATTCTGATGAGGTACATTATGCCAAGCATTTGTTCTGTTTTACCACCATGCTCTCTCTTTTTAATAAATGTTGTTTTAATGAGGATAACTGTCACACTGGATAATTTCACACAGATCACCCCCAAAAGAGATGAAAATTCCTCACCTGCAAGTGGCAGCCTCTTTAAAGAAATTATTTTCATCATAATTAAGCTTAAGATCAAAGATAAAGTATGATGTAAGAGAGAGAGGTTGTTTGCAAAGGTGTTTAAGAGGAACTAGCTGAAGTTATGAAACTCGGGCATGTTATTGTTTTTAAGTAAAGACTCTATGTTCTGGTTTAAACCACTAACAGAGAGTATGCTCAAAAAATTAAAAAATGGGCCAACTTATATACAATGCACATAAAAAATAATAATCAGTGAGTAAAAGACATTGCCAGATGTGTCAGGGAAGTGCTAGAAGGTCAGGCTTAGTTAAGAACAGTATCTGGAACACTGTTTTGAACAGAGGAGAGTAATGTTACAATTCTGGGTTGAAGATGAAACTTACTTGAATAAGAGCTTTCACTTGGGTTGTATCTCAATATGATCACCTCGTGTTTAACTAGTATCACTTCCATATCTTTAGCCTACCAAGAGAAAACTGATACTTGGTTTTACTTGCAAATTTGGATGTTTTATGAGCAGGACAATCGCACCCTCAGGAACCAATCAAGGATGGGTCCTCATTGTATTAGGCACTAGACAAACCTATAGAAATCACAACCCCTGGCCCAAGGAGCTTACAGTCTACTTTGTTTATTAAAATACTGTTTTCTTTTTAAATATGAGCTGCAAAGTGAAAAATATTGGTTTATACTTTAAGGAAGTACTTCTTCACACAACACGCGGTCAACCTGCAGAACGTGTTGCCAGGGGCTGTTGTGAACACCAAAAGTATAACTGGGTTCAAAAAAGAATTAGATAAGTTCATGGAGGATAAGTCCATCAATGGCTATTATCTAAGATGGTCAGGGATGCAACCCCATGCTCTGAGTGTCCCTAATCCTCTTACTGCCAGAAGCTGGGACCGGACAGCGGGATGGATCACGTGATAACTGCCCTG